CACCTAAGCAATATTTTTTTCAAGAGGTGCAAGCTTGCTTCAAAATTATGCTTATATAAAAAATATCCCACAATTTTCAACATGTTCAAAAAGAGAGAATAAATGGGAATTTAAACATACCAGTTTCTAAAATATCGGAAAAATCTTATTTTGTGCAATCTTTATTTATACTACAGACAGGTGGATATAGAGTGATTACTTTAGGACAGAACCACCTTGATTCAGGCAAAAAAAATTACCGTCATTATTTCCTGCTGTTGTTTTTCTTCTTCTTCATTCACAGAGTCAGAATTTCCAAATGGAGATCTCTTTTCATCAGCTGAAATAATAAAACAATTAAAAATTCCCCTCCTTGTAAAGGTATAATCAACCAATTGGAACAAGAATACAGAACTTTTAGCACATCACAGAGTATCAGGTTTACAGGGCTGTGTAAGTGACCTAAATAAGAAAATATAATGAAATATATCATATTTGGCATGTAAGACATGGTGGAAATTATTGAGATGAACATTGATGTAGTTTAACTTGAACATTGATATAGTTTAATTTAGTTGTCAAAATATTGGATAAAAAAATTATGAAACTTCTTCAAATATTGTTAAAGTCATCAAATATCGTAAGGGCTATTCCACAAAAAAATGTAGGGGGGGGGGGGGGGGGGTTGGAAGGCACTTTTATTTTTACCCCATCACCCATACATTTTTAATTACTTTCTCCCCCACCGCCCATCAAAATAAAAATGCTTTTAATACAACCATCCATCTATATTTAAAATAATTTTTTTAAGACTTCTGTTCCAATTAAGTTATCTATATAAAAATAAAATTTTATGTACCGGTACCTGCACTTAATGCGATTTGAATTGAGTGTTCGCTTTTGGGATCTATCCAAACCAGGACCTTGTTAAATAAGAGAAAACTTAATAAATATGATGAAAATCTGAATACTTATGCACAAAAACTTTCTTTTTTCATTACGTTGAAAATGATTCAAATCTTTTTGAAAAGAATTTATAAAGATATATTTTTATGAAAATAAATTTTAACAGAAGCAAAAGGTTTGGTATGACTTTACAATCAACAAAATTTCTTCAGGTTAGGAAATGTACCCCTTTAGGTCTGTCATACATACCACTGAGAGCCCTATAAATAATGATTTGTATTTATCTGTTCTGATGCTTGACTTTGTAATCTGTAAAGTTCGAGAAAACTAATACATGTTAACATGCACTAGTAGAAAATTAATATCCTTTAATAATTAAAATATATATTGTGAATTATAGCCTATCCTTACGTTGTTTATACCACCTATATACTAAGTATACTTGGTATATAGGTCCCTGTTTATACCTTCTTCAAACAAAAAATTATGGGTTTTTATCTTTCTTTTTTTGGGGGGGGGGGGGGCATGGGTTGGGGGTGCAATTAAGTTATGTAGGGCATTATCTATTTAGTGGAAATGTGAAGAAAAAAAATAACAAGTCTAAATCCCACCTAACAACTACAGGCTATTGTTTCTGAAATATACCGGTATTATATTTTTTAATTCATTTTAAATGAATTAATTGAGAATGGGTTAAATGTTAAACACACTTTACAACTGTTTAGAATGAAAGTTTTTTTTTAAATAAACAAGAGGCCCATGGGCCTTATAGGTCACCTGAGTATCATGTAACAACTTTCCAGCGATTGTATTTGGTTCGTGTTTTAATCCAAAAGCCATGAAATTCACAAATTTTGAAGGAGGCACCATTGCTTATCCGGCAGATTTCAAAGCATTAATTTATTTTTAGTGAGAGTATCCCCCTGGTACCCCTGACCCAGCGGCCCTGAAATTATCTATTTTGAAAGAGGCCCCTTTCTTCATTATAAGGCCAGCATTTTTTTTATGTTTAGGTTTACCGGTAGTTTACTGTTATGAACATGAGAATAAAAAAGTCCCGAAGGAGAAGGAAATAAAAAAAAAATTTTGATAAATCAATTATTAACATTTGTACATTCTTTTTTTATGCTATTCTAATAGGCTCCTAACCACTGGAAACATAATGCACAAATAGGAAAGTAGAACATTTAATTGTTGATTTCATCATCTGCCAGTTTGGGCTAGTTATATAAATTTTGTGATGTTGGTCAAAATGTATTTTAAAAAATCTATTCTTTAAAAGTCTTTCAATATATCTTCATTTTTCTAATATGTGTTAGGTGAATGTGTAGACATTGTTCTAAAAATTTACTTGATGCCTAAAATTATAATTCCTATCATAAAACAGACAGGGAGTATTGGGGAGTAGGGTGAACATTTTTTCAAAGAAACTAAAATAATTTTTCTGGCTGATACAAATGATACTACATGCCTGTATATATTTGTATATTCTTGCCTTTTAATAGTTGATTTTTTTTTAATTTCTTTAGGCTATTGTTTATTTTCCTCAAATGGACTTAACTTCTCCCATAGGTTTATTTATTACATCTGATGCATAAGCAACCCTTTTCTGAAGAATGATGCTTAGAATGTGGGGATATACCTATGTTGCTGGCAATATGCAATAGTCAACACGGGCAGTCCAAAACCTGGAGGAGGAAAATAATTTAGAGACAGATACTTTTGAAACCAAGCACAATCATCTCACCAGCATGTCATTGTGCAACAAAGTGTCAGCATTTTATTTCTCCTTTGAACGGGTGAAACGTTTTGAATGGCACTCGTATCGATGAATTTTACACTAAACCAAGCTATCTTGTCAGATCTAGCTTTATTTACCCGCCGTGTCATCTTAAAACCGGAAGTGCGAGTTCGTAAATTTGAAATCTCGATCCCGACTCAAATTTGACATGGAAAGAAAAAAATTGTTTTATTTTTTTCTGAAAATTCAAAACCTTGAGTGGAGGGTTTGTAAAACTGAAAATAAAATAAATCCTGGCCTTAAATATTTAATTAGATCATTAGTATATTAACCAGGAGCAAAGGATTAGATGTTCAAAGAATTCATGCATTTCAACCACATAATCATTAGAGCCCCACCCTAAAACAAGAACCCTGACCCTGGGGCCATAAAATTCACGAGTTTGGTAGAGACACTCTTGCTCATCATAACTATGTACTTAGTTAGTTTATTTAATACCCAGGAGCAGAGAAGAAGATTTTCAAAGAATTCATGTATTTTCACTATATAATCAATAGAGCCCCGCCCTACACAGAACCCCTGACCCTGGGGCCATAAAATTCACAATTTTGGTAGAGGCACTCTTGCTCATCATAACTATGTACTTAGTTGGTTTATTTAATACCCAGGAGCAGAGAAGAAGATTTTCAAAGAAATAATGCATTTTCACTACCTACTTATTTAGCCCCGCCCTAGCACTAGAACCCCTGACCCCAGGGCCATGAATTTCACAATTTTGGTAGAGGACTCATTGCTGATTACAATCAGTGCAAACAGTTTGACTGCTTGATGTCCAGGAGTAAAGAAGAAGATTTTTAAAGATTGGCTAGTTATACCTACAGAAAACCTATGGTCCAGACAAACCCATCTCAAACTCCCCCATGCACAACCCTCTCTATCCCCAAATCTGGATAACTCTGGAAAAAATGAGGTTGCTCACCACTACACTACCCATATACTAATTGAAATTCTTCAAATATAGTTTTAATAAATGTGATAAATAAAGGGAAGTTCATAAATTATATGTATATTTCTGGAGGTCATAGTGACCTATAATCAGATGGCAAATCACAATCAATGTTCTAAATATCAAGTGACGAAGTCAGTTATATCCAGCAGGACTAAAGAAGCAATGTCCTAAAATAGAATTGTTATCCAATGATATATAAGGTTCAAAATCTCCTAAGGACTCCATGTCATGATTATTCATTTCCAATGACATAATACACAAGTCACTTTGATCTGTAAAACAAGTTCTTTTCATACACAAAATGTCACTTTGATGCTGTAAAACAAGTTCTTAGAAATTCACTGTACCTACCTGCCTCTCATCAGTGTAATTAACAGAAACCATGTCAGAAAAGCAGCATATTTATGCTAGCTAAAAATTTTCAAGAACACCATCAATTCCACAAAATAATAGGCATGCACACACCGTTTAAGCATCCAAGAAAATTTCAGTGCTATAATGCTCTCTCAAAATTTCTACAATAGCTGGGAAAAGGCAATAGCACAAAGCCAGCCATGTCTATCAATGTGCCAAATGGATTAAAAACTTTCAAAATAGATTCCAAATAGTTTGTCTGAATATAAACATTATAATATAGGCAGTAAGCAAGATCAAACATTAATTTCATCAGGAATTATGAAATGGAACTTACCAGTTAACCAGTTAACAGGATTAAAAATATCAATATTGTCAACTTTAGTTAACCAGTTAACATATCAAATTGAAGATCCTTTTAAGTCACATTTTTGGAGGTCACTGTGACCTAAACTTGGGCTATGACCAAGACATAATGTCTAAAATAATGTACAGTTTCACAAGAGAGCATATATACTGTCACAGAGTAAAAGTTACGTAAATCAAACTGGTCAAAGCAGAAAAGCTCTCTTATCTAATCTTATTAAATATTGAGGTCATTGTGACCTACTTAAGGGGTACACCATGCCCATCAATTTTAATTCATATAAATAGGAATGCAGAAATCATGTCAGAAAAGCAGCTTATTTATGCTAGCTAAAAATTTTCATGAACACAGTCAAATCCACAAAAAATAGGCACACACCGTTTTAGCATCCAAGAAAATTTCAGCGCATAAATAAGCAATCTCCCTGGCAAAGATTTCAAATCCTAGCTGTTGCACAATAATAGTTACCATTGTGGAAACTGGCAAACGGTAATAAAGAAATACAATTGAAAAATGTTCAACAAACACCAGAATACATATGGCACAAAGCCAGGGGAAGAGAATCAGAAATTTCCCAACAAAATTAATATAGCAAATAAAGATGTACTATAAAGGAAGATTCAAATCTGCATATTATACCGCACCCAACGTGCATGCCCACACCATGAGCACTATATGTGTTCAAATCTGACTAGTACCCAGACCAGGCACTTTCACTAAGGATACAACATAGTATTTGTATCAGCAACAGAAGCTAGAAATGCCTACCACTTACTAGCAGAAATACCATTAACCTCTTAGCTAACTTTATCCAAAGTGAAATTCTCTTAAATGCAGCACAACAAAGGTAAAGTCACTCTAAATGTCACAGACATTGGTATTAATGTGTCCTATTGAGGTAAGTCATTGTGATGTACCTAAAGGTTGTCGCTAAGGCTTCAAGTTCCGAGTGAATGTTTAAACATTTCTATGTCTTTTTGTAACAGCTCTGAACCAAGAATAGCTACCATCGAGACAGACAGGCGGAACAAAATACCATATCATTTAACAATCATAATAATAGAATATGAAGCAGGACTAACACAATGTTGTCAGCTGGGTTTGTGACAAGTAAAATTTACAACGACATTTCCAGAACAAAAATAACATAACAACAACAAAAACACACACACACATACATATGTTACAATCAGATCAAGATGTAATGTCCAATCTTCCAAATCTTAAACCAAGTCCTTCCTTGCTGTATCCTTTTCTGAAAGTCCACATCATCAGGTATTTGTCTTCACTACAAAAAATATAATGAAGAGTATTGGCACCTTCAAACATTGTAACTGGTAGTTTTGCAAACCAAAGGGCTTGTTAATATTTAAACAGTTAAGAGATGTAAAGTTTCACATAGAAAAAGAGAAAAGGTTGTGTTATGACCTTACTTTTAGGTTATGGGCAACTGTCTATGCTTTATCTCTAGTTATTGTATGATATTCTGCATGCTCTTGAATAATGGAATTCTGGTCACCAAACTGCTTACCTGTTAATACAATATATGTAGATGTCAACAAATTAAAAGAAATCAGACTTTGTCAATTTGGCAAAAAATGGAAACTTTCAATAATAGAAAGAGGTAAAGCTAAATGTGTCTTACTTCTAGGTTTAGCTGCAGGTTATCAGTATACTCTTAAACTCTTCTTCTAACAAAAGAATCTGGGTGGAGGCTTGTCAATACTTGGCCCAGTAATTATGAATGCAGAAGCTGTCATTGTTTTACTGTCATCTGCAGGGCTGGTCTCCATCACTTCTGGCCTACTGTTCTTGTGGGTTGGTGATGCACTCTGATTGAAGCTGCTGTTATTTTACTGTCATCTGCAGGGCTGGTCTCAGTCACTTCTGGCTCTCTGTTCTTGTGGGTTGGTGATGCACTCTGATTGAAGCTGCCATTATTTTACTGTCATCTGCAGGGCTGGTCTCCATCACTTCTGGCTCTCTGTTCTTGTGGGTTGGTGATGCACTCTGATTGAAGCTGCTGTTATTTTACTGTCATCTACAGGGCTGGTCTCCATCACTTCTGGCTCTCTGTTCTTGTGGGTTGGTGATGCACTCTGATTGAAGCTGCTGTTATTTTACTGTCATCTGCAGGGCTGGTCTCCATCACTTCTGGTTCTCTGTTCCTCTAGGTTGGTGATGCACTGTTCCTACTAGAAGCTGCTATCATTTTATGGTCGTCTACAGGCAAGTTGGTCTCAGTCAGTTCTGGCTCTCTGAATCTCTAGGTTGGCGATGTACTCTTGTAGAAGCTGCCATTACTTTACTGTCATCTGCAGGGCTGGGCTCAGTCACTTCTGGCTCTTTATATCTGTAGGTTGGTGATACTCTCTTGTAGAAGCTGCCATTATTTAACTGTCATCTGCAGGGCTTGGCTCAGTCACTTCTGGCTCTCAGTATCTGTAGGTTGGGGATGCACTCCTGAACTCAGGATAAGGGACTTCTGTCATTGTATCTATAAGATTAAGAGATTTAAGATCAGAAGTTCTAATCTACAACAAGTGAGGAAAAGAACATGAAATAATGGTCAATAAACAGGAGTTTGTATCTTACCCTTTCTTCTGTGATTGGCTGCAGTTGATCCTTGCTCTCTAGATTCCTCTTGATGAATAATGGGGCTTCTACTCCAAGGTGGGATAAAACTTGATAACCATGATTCTGTAAATTTAGAGTCAATAGGTCAATAAATCCTGTACTCAGATCAAGTGAGAATAGAAAAAATAAAACTATAAAAGTACAATAGATACAGTAAAACTTGGTTAGTACGAACACGGGTTACTGAATACCCATAAGCAGGGTAGGGGAACAAAAATGCACTCCAACTAATCAGTAATATTAATCAATAATCAGTAGTGCCCCTAACACTCACATAAACCCCTGACCTAGGTTGCACAAATTTTTAAAAGGCACCCTTAAAATTGCCTATCAAAAAGTAAATAAATGTTTTATAAATACAAAGGACCAGATTTCAAACAATTAATTCATTTTCAGTATATAAGTAGAGCCCCCACCCCCCCACCCCTGACCCTGGGGCCTTGAAATTCACAATTCTGCAAGATTAGGGCCCTTGCTCATCATAGATATATAAGTAGTTCATCTGCTTTATACCCAGAGACAGAGAAGAAAATTTTCAAAGATTTAATGTACAATGATTTTCACATATAATCAATAAGCCCCACGTAACACCAAACCCAGACCCTGGGGCAATGAAATTCATAATTTTAGAAGATTCATTCTTGCTCATCATAACTATGCACTTACTTATTTATTTAATACCTAGGAGCAGAGAAGAAATTTTTAAAGAATTCATGTATTTTCACTAT